TTCTTCGCGGCCGCAATTTGAGACACACGCCCCGCCGTGCTCGCCGTCCTCTAATGTGGCCGCGTCGCCGCGTCCGGAATCCTGATGAAGATGGAGGGCCGAGGCACCGCAGCCTGCGCAGCCGCCAGCAGACTGACTCCGCAGGTCGTTTTCGTCGCTCTGTCTCTCTCGAACCTATACGCGGCGCCCACGAGTGCGAGAGAGACAGAGCGACGAAAACGACTGCCTGAATCAGCGCACTGGCCGCGTCGTGGACGCCACCAACCACACACAGCCCCAGCTTGCTGCCCAGGCCGTCGTCAGCGAGGACAGCACTCAAAGCGACCGCAACCCGCGGAGCGGTTTAGTCTCCACCGCCCACAGCAGTGAGCGCCTTTCAAGTTTATTTATATTCCACATTTTTATTTATTATACATGAACGGGGCAAAAACGCGCGCTATATTTGAGCCTGCAGCGACCGCGGCGTGAATGGGTTCCCCGGGTCGATCCAAATCGGTACCCCCACCCTCCACCGCCAACCGCACTGCCCCCACGGCCCCCGCAGAGCGACCGCGTCCCCGGCCGCGCCACATCCGCCGCCCCCGCCGCCCCGCCACGCAGCGCCCTGGAGATACTTTCTTTCCCTCTTTTATAGCTCCACAGATCATAAATTTTGATTGAAAATGACAAGGTTTGATTATTCGCGCGACACGCTGCTGCCGCGCTGCCGCCGCCATGCAGGCCTGCAGCAGGGCCGCCAGACCGCCAGGCCGCCAGGCAGCACGGCGTCGTTTCCAGGGCCGTTGCAGTGCGCCCCGGCTCCTACAACCTCCCCAAAGGCCTCGTGCTACACACCTGCTGAGGCTCGCCGAGCGTCGTCCTGGCAGTCCTCCACGGTGAAGGACTTGCTCTGCTGCTCGCGGGCGCAGCGACGCGGACTCCAGCGTGCTGCTGGCGTGTTGTCCGGCAGGGAACTGGCATCAACATTCACGACCACGACACCTTTACTGTCTGTGCTACCCCCTCCAGCTCCTCAACCCCCTCTCCTTTCACACTCTCTCTCACACGCACACAAGCACAAAGGTTTGAACCCTCATCCTCTTTTTAACCCCTTGAACACCCCATCTCTCTCTCCTTCTCATTTTCTCTCTCTCCCCCCGCACCGTGTCGGATGCCGCCGTCCCATGCAAATCGCGCGCCGCACAAAAACAGAGGCGAGGGGAAAAAATAAATACGGAATCCCTTTTCTCTAATTGAATGGCCGTGTCGGCTTGGTTATTAATATGCAGATATGGAGAAAGAGTTCGGCAGCGCTCCGTCGGCCGCCCGTCCCACGAGCACACACGGCTGGCTGTGCCTGGGCTCGGCGAGTTCTCGGCGAGCCTCGCTCCCAGAGAAACAGAAATCCGAAACAGACTCTGAAGGTACACTGTGGAGCCAGGAGCCCCACGCTCAGTTCGCCCGCCGCGGTCGGAGACTTGAACGAAGGGCGGTGCATGCAGTGCTGTTCGGGGCGGGGCGTCGGCGGGGACGTCGCCCGCGCACGACATGAGGGGCGTGTTCTCGTTTTATCTTCCAGCGCGCCTCCAGCCACCTGCTGCGATTCTCCTGTCGCGTAATAATGGGCTGCCCAGGCCAGGCCAGGGCCGCCACTCGCACAATGTCTGTTTTAGGTAATTGAAAGAAGCTCCGGAATAAATTAAGTGCTCGACCTGGCGGGGCGGGGCGGGGCGGGGTGAGGCGGGGTGGGGCCGGGAAGCGAGCGCGGAGCGAAAAAAGACGAAATATCGCTGAAAGAGCCCGGTGACCGGATGCGAGGCGAGGCCGTGGACGTGAAAGGCCGCGCGGCGACGACGGCGACCTGGCGGCCTCTCTCTCCGTCCGCCGTGCCTCACCTGGCCTCCGCGTCCTCGCGGGTGAAGGGGCACTGCTAGAGGTTCATCAAAGCGCGTCCGCTCTGCCGGCGCCCCGCCGCGGTGCGCGCGAGGAGCGCGTCGGCGGCACTCCAGCGGCGGCCTTTTGTTTTGAGGTGCCAAAGTAGAGCGGCTCCCCGGTGCGGCGCCGACAGGCCGACACCGCACTGCAGGCCAGCACTGCCCTCTGCGAACGCGGAAGTCTCGACCAGGCTGCTGCACCGTAACACCGTAACTCGATGACGACGACGCGCTGATTGTGAAAACACGATTATTACTTTCACTTTTAATCGTTCGAGAAAGAACTTTGAAAAATACTTGGCTAGTTTGCAAATAGTTGTAAAAATATTTACCAGAAAACTCCCCTTCCCTCCAGCAAATTTTAATCTGTTTTGGGATCTTTGCGTTGAATGCACGTCAACGTGCCCCCCACCCCCAACCTTTCGCGGCTCCTAGAATCCGGAATTTCGCAAAGTTTGGGCCGCCGGCCCGGCGGCGGGGCACGGCGGGGCACGGCGGGGCCGCCGGCCGACTGCGCCACTTGTCGAGTCTCTGCAGTTGGCAGCAATTACGACACGCGGAACACGGCGTGTGGAGGTTGGCAGCCCTGCGCGGCCCTGGCCGGCCCTGCCCGCCTTCCTTCCCCTGCAGCCAAGCCTTTTCCTTTCCCGGGGAGACGCAGCCACGCAGCCACGCAGCCACGTAGCCAGCCTCTAAGTTGAAGTGAAGGCTTTACTTTTTCGACGTGATATATTTTTTCTCTCGCTCTCCTCGTCTCCCTTGAAAAGCTTTGAGTGCGAGGGTGGCTCGGAGCATGTGATGCAACGGGCTCCACACCCCGTCCCGTCCTCCGCTTCCACCGCCTCTCTTTTTTTCCTTCATTTTATTCCTCTTCTTCTTGTCTCCCTGGGGGACCGTCGGGGAATCCACTCACGCACGCTCCTCCCAAATGGTGGGCCTGGCTGGGGCGGTGTGCCGCCGGTGGCTCTGTGCCGGTGGCTCTGTGCATGTGAATCCGGGGCTGAATGTGCCGCCGGAGCCAGGGCCGGAGCCACAGGGCCGGAGCCCTCCGGTGCGTGCGAAACAGTATTATATTATTGAGTCTTTCAATTGGTTTTACTTCCCTCGCATTATTCAAAATGTTCCGTCTTGTACACTGTTCATTTTTTCGCACTTTTTGGGGAAATAAAAGCGATGGATTAATTTTGGAAAAAATATGTAATCGGAAATGCAATAATTTTGATCACTTACATTTTTTTAAGAAAAAAATAATAATTGTCGTATTGCCGAGGTGCTGAGAGAGAGGAGGGGGGGATAGGATGAATAAACTTAGGCGGTGGCCGGACGGACGAGCCGCTCTACAAGACAAACAGTCTTTGGAGCCTTTTTGGCATGCATTTTGTTTACCCCGTTGCGGCCTGTGTGCGTGCGCAAGTGTGTGTGTGTCGCTGTTTGCATGCCATGCTTGAGGAGGATATGAATAAGATATGCCGCTGGTCAAACAAGTCGGTGCGATGAGTTCTCTGCGAACTGAGGCTGTGGACGTTGCACAGTGGGCCAGAAGACCGGTGGAGGCGGCCAAAATTCTGGACGTGTTTTGAGCTCTAGAGTCGCTAAGCAGGACTCAAACCGAACGTGTGACCCCACCAACGGATTCCTCGTTCGGAGAGCAATCCGTTGGTGGGGTCACACGTTCGGTTCGAGTCCCATTGGGCGACTTTGGAGCCCAAAACGCGTCTAGAGTTTTGAACCGCCTCCACCGGTCTTCTGGCCCACTGTGCGTTGCTGCTTATCATCCCTCGGCACCCCCGGGCCTGGGGCGAGGCTATGCTGGAAGACGAGGCCGGGCAAACACGGCGGGGAAGGCCGGTCAGGGAAGTGCATCCTGCGAAAGGGAAGGACCTCTCCAGAGCTCGGGACGAGGCGGTGGCTGTGCAAGCTATGCATACGGTATGGCCAGGCCATGGCCTCACCAACACAGGTGGTTGTAAAGGAAGGAGATTGCGGCTGCACTTTCCTTTCTTCGATGCAAGAGGGTCTCCTCCTAAGGCAGGGCGGAAATGATAATGAACCGTTTTTGTTTTGGGGTCTGCGAAACTTCGGTTTGGAACAGGTCACGGAGTGCGTTCGGGGCGGACTTTGTGCGGCGAGTGGAACAGCGAGTGCAGTGTGTGGAACGGCGGGTGGAACGGCCGCGGAACACGACTGCAACAAACGGTCCGCGTAATGGCGCCAGCCGAAAACCAAGCAGAGAAATAACGGCCGGGAGAATGTGGAGAGAAAAAAAAATCGATGCTTACCAAAAGTTACCGGCGCGGCGGGGGCGGTTGGGGCGGTGGACGAGGGGCGGGCACAGCCGGAGAGGCCCCCTGGCGGCGGGGGGAGGAGCCAACGGCGACGCGGTGCTCGACCGAGCCGCCGGGCGGCCGCGCGGTGCCGGCCAGCTTGCGGACGTCGCCGCCTAGAGGGCGTCCTGCTTCGGCGCGTCGCCTGCACTGCCTGCACTCGTCCCGCCGCGACCTGCCGCAAGGAGTATCGACACACGCGGCGTCTCGGCAGCCCTAGCTTTTCTGGCCCGAAGCAGCTCAGTGTGCAGCTCCAGAGAAACGGACAGAGGTTTAAGGTTTAAGGTTGGACGCTCAACGCGTAAACATTCTCGGTGACCACCAAATAGTATTGGCGCGCAGATTCTTCTAGTCGCGCCTGACTATGACTGGAACCTGAAGAGTCAGAGACCCAGAACAACCCGAAAAAGCTCAATTTTTAGGAAAAGATGCACAGTGCCACTAACAATATTATCTGGACGGTTTTAGTATGCATTCAACGTGTTCCAATAGTTGCGATGACATCAGAGAGACTCTCCTTACTCGACCTCGACGTCATGTCGGATTCAAGGATTCAATAATCCCGCGGTTACCCTACCCCCAAGCACGCCAACACCCGGTCCTCAAATGTTAAAGTAGTTTCGTCGAGCTGATTATTACTTTATTTCCTTCGTGATTCAGAACAGGTATTTACCTGTCGCATTAAACTGAAATTTCCTTTATTCATTGAAATTTCTGTGAAATGCGAGGCTCAAATGTTTCGAGTTTTACAGTTGGTCAAGCTGGCGCCATTTCAAAACAAAAATAATTGAGCGCGAACCTGAGGAACGACGATCCGGTCTCTTTGTTTTTGTAAAGTTGTATCTTTCTGACATTCTTTTCTCGATAATCATTGTGTTCAGGTTTGCAAGTGTCGCGTTTCTTCATTCGCCATGAAAATAGACGCCATGGAGTGTGCGGGTCGTCTGCTGTCGAAGCCAGCAGATGAATCAATGGACGTTGTTGTGGATCGTGTGGACAGCCAGTTCCAAGATCTGTCTGCACGATTCCGGCACGTCGGCAAGGACTTTTCCAAGCAATACTTCCACTTTTACGCTCAGAGACTCCTGTCCATGAAACCGTTGTTGTTGCCAAGAATAAATCAGAAATGGGGTGAGTCTTCTTCGCCAATCGTATTGAGGTTATGGCCCTAGTCTGCCACTGTATATTTGTCTATTTATGTACTATGTATTTGTCTATTGAATATTTTTCAGGCCACAAAATACCAGTAAAGACTCTTGCTGACTTAAAGGAAGACTCAAGTGAAAAATGCATAATCGTTGGCACCCTTTATAAGCATCAGGAACTGAAGCCGAGTATTTTAAAGGAAGTGAGCGAAGAGTATCAACTTATTCCTCAGCCCATACGCAGTGAATTTACGGATGATGATGATCAGCTTATCCTGGAAGACGAATTGCAACGCATTAAGCTGCTTGGTTCTTTGAGTGCGCACGATGCCATCACTGGCATTGTTTGCGCAGTACTGGGTGCAGAGCAGGCTGGTGGCAAGTTTTGTGTAGAGGACTACTGCTTCCCAACACCTCCAGGCCCTTCAAAACCTCTTTCACCCCCTAAAGATGACAGGTAATTTAAATTTAATTGGTTATTTTAACTGCCTTTTAGACTCAATCACTAAAAATTTCTGATATAGTTTGTTCATTTTTTGTGCTTTGCTCTTTTACAGATATGTTGTGTTAGTCAGTGGACTGGACCTGGCGGGCAGTGCTGATGTTCTCTTTCCTTTCGAATTACTGGTTGATTGGGTCAGTGGGTGGCTCGGTGATGTAGGTGAACAGAAAAATCAAGCTCTTGTAACCCGCATTCTTTTTGCTGGTAAGTGAACCAACTAAATTTTTGTGATAAATTTGATTCTACTAATTTTGATGGTGATCTCTATCTTTTCCATGTTTACATGTAGGTAACACCATTAGGACCCAGTCTGCTAATAAAGGAGCAGCACTGCCACATGTTAGCGAATCTTTAGACACAACTAGTACACTTGATGCTGTCAAAATTCTTGATGATTTTCTTGAACAGCTCACTGTAAGCAATATACTGAACTGCTTGTAAATGCTATTTATTTGGTCTTTAATTTAGTGTAAGTACAATTATCTTTCATTGTTTTTGTTCAATTATACAGAGCAGTATTCCTGTTGATATTATGCCTGGTGAGTTTGACCCTGCAAACTGCACTTTACCTCAACAACCCTTGCATTGTTGTATGTTCCCCAAGGTAAATATCTAATCTAATCTGAAAATTAATTTTAAAAAACATTCCTATTGTTTACTTGTCTTTTCTATGTTGATTTACACTTACAATTTACACTTTTCAGGCTGCCACTTATAAAACCTTGCACAGTGCCCCCAACCCATATGATTTTCAAGTGGATGGCCGTCGAATTATTGGAACTTCTGGTCAACCAATAGATGATATAGCAAAATTCACAAGAATTTCAGATCGCCTTACTATTCTTGAACGGACCTTAGAATGGGGTCATCTAGCACCATCTGCTCCTGATACTTTGCGTAAGTTTAATTTTGTATTGAAATTTTTTCAACGGGTCCAAACTTTTTACTTAGATGTACCAATTTTTTTTGTAGGATGCTACCCATATGCTAATGAGGATCCTTTCATACTGCAAGATCTTCCAGATGTCTATTTTGCTGGAAACCAACCAAGCTTCCAGACAAAGTTGTACAAAGGAGATGATGGTAAAGAAGTGCGTTTAATATGTATCCCTAAGTTCAGCACCACAAAATCATGTGTTGTCTTGAACCTAAAATCTCTAGAATGCTACACCATGTCTTTTGGTGATGCTCTGCAGGAAGATTCAGCTGAGGTGGAAAAGTAATGCCTAGCATTTTAAAAGTACCTTAATAAATTGCATCCATCAAAAATGTTATTTTTAAATAATAAATATTTCTTTTTAAAACATGAAGTGTGTTTATTTTCTAGCTAAATGCCGGTGAATGTTTAATTTAAATTAAAGTATGGTACTGAAAACAAGTTGAAGTTTTTTAACGTTCTTATCATAGAATGTGTTACTCACACCTATGGCATGTATGCATACATCATGGCGTCAATAATTTAATCTATTGCATCTTCCTGTGAAACCTTGTGGAAGATTAGGAAATCAGAACTCTGAGATACTTGTAATTTTCCTCCTTGAGCTCTTCAGCCTACCTAGCTCAATGCTTGGAATTTAGACTTGATCTGTCTAATCTTGAGCTTTGCCCATTCGCCTGTTGTGACGTTGATCCTTACGTCGGATGACGCTTATCTGCTGGTCCTGAAGGTGACGCGTCAACGCGTCCCTCCCTTTCGTTCGTCCTTTTATCCTTCTCCGCCACTAGAACCTTCCACCTTTATCGATTGTCATCGTTGCGATTGCATCATTGTCGGTTTCGTTATGAAATGCGTTGGGAAGCGTTGCAAAAATGCGAACGCGGCGCGCGGCCTTTGCAGCAACACCGTTTCCGCTTCCTTGCGAAGCAAAGGGGTGAACGGACGCGTTCGGCGAGGTTCGGGTCGGGCCGTCGTGTCGGGCGTCTTCGGGCGTCTTCGGGCCTCGGGCCGCGCGCTCGGGCCTCGGCGACGTGGTTCCACCCCGCAGCGACAGATGGCGCGCTGTGCTCGTCCGCCGCGCGGTCGCTGCTCTGCCCGCTGGCTGGCTCCACGCTACGCGGCTACGCCGTACGTGGCCGTACGCCCCGCGCCGCTCTACGCTGTGCTCCGCGGCTCCGCGGCCAGGGAATGACTGGGGGGCCGGAGAGGGGGGCGGGAACAGGACGAGGAGAGAAAGGGAGGAGAAGAGAAACGTGAAAGGGAGCGAGAGAGACTCGGCGGTTCCCTGCTGCGAGAGCGAGAGAGGGGAGGGGCGGGGGCGTGACGTCACCGCGGGGCACCAATCAATATGCTTATAGCGGGCCCGCCTCGCCGCGCGCGCTCAGTTCACGTTGTGCCGCGCTCCGAGCAAGTTCACGTCGCTCAGGACCGTCAGCCGCCTCTCCACAAGCCGCGCCACCGCCTCGCATCGCCGCGTGCTCGAGACAACTTGTAAACACACAGACCATTCGCGTGCAAGGGCCGTGTCAGCGGTCGCAACAGCCTCCAGTAGAGTCCAGCAGTGTGTCCAGCGGTGGCCGTCGGCGCCGACCTCCTCACCTCGCTGCAGACGGCGTTCCGGTGCCCCTGCCCCTTGCGCCGCACTGCTCCGGCCCCACCGCCGCGGCCTCCCAGCAGCCCGAGGATTTGAGTGAAAGTGTGCCGTTCAAGATGGCGTTCATGATGCCCGTCGTCAAGAATGACTGGAACATTTACAAGAGCGGCCGGTCCCGGCGCAGCTCCGAGTGCTCCAACCCGCAGTCGTGCCGCAGCAGGAAGGTGTCCGAGTGCAAGTCGGAGGGCCCGTCCCTGTCCACGTCACCGGGCAGCGACTTCGTCGTGGTGAGTGGAGCAGCCCAACCTCGCCGAGCTTTTCAACGTCCAACGTCGCCGGCGGGGTTCAAACCCGCGCGCGCGGCATAAAGGCCTTGCCGCGTGTTGTTGCTGGATGGCGTCAGCTGTTGCGGGTTCGAGTCCCGGCGGCGGCGCTCTTTTTTCGGTCGTCGCTGCGGAAAAGTACATACTGGGTTAACTGTCTCCAAACGGTGGTTGCGTGTGCGGCTCGCCGAGCTGCCGAGGCTCGGCGGGTCCTGATGCAACGCGCAGTGCCAGCGGGGTACCTGGGAGTGGTGCGTCGGACCGACGGCCTGCACCGCGTGCACCGCGTGCAACATGAGCAGCATGCACCCGTCTTGCCTTTTTCGCCAAGGCAGCGGCAGCCCAGGCAGCCTCCGCGGCGGCCCTAAGCGCGAAGGCTGAAGGCTGTCGAGGCTGTCCAACCAGGGCGCGGCCGCGGTGCAACGCTGCGCTAGCTGCGCTGCGTTCTGCAGGACGCCCCCTCCCCCTTCTCCAAAGTTTCCCCGCTCCGGCCTTGGCGGTGGTTGGGGCGCTTGGGCCGCGAGCTCCCTCTGGTGGGCGTGGGCGCGTTGGCGTTGCATCAGGGCCGTTGAACCCGCCCCCGCCGCCCCGCCGCCCCGCGCGTCGCAGTAGTGCTCGCAGCGGTACTAGGTGGCGTCCAGCGCGTCCGGCGTGACACTCATTCAGGTCGTTTGTTTGTTGACGGCTGCGCCGCGCCAACCCGCCACCACCCGCCACCACGCACCGCGGGCTGCGTGCTGCGACGCGGTGCGTGCCGGGCGCGGCGTCTGGAACGTTCCGCGACCGGTGCGCGGCGCGGCGCCCCCGCCCCTCCCCGCCCGGCCCCACCCACCATTGATCAGGCCTGGCGCTGGCGTGCGCTGCCGCTCCCCGGCACCCTTCCGGCTGCCCTAACCTCTTTACGCGCCCTTGGCGTGCGGATGTGCGGGCCGCCACCGGGCCGCCGGCATGGCCGGCCTCATTGCGCTGGACAGCACGACAGCGTCCTCGCGGCGGGGTTGGCCGGGCCCGGGGCAGGACGGGCAGGACGCACGCTTCAAAATTGAGTTAGCACATCCCCGTCGCCCCACGCCCCCGCCCGGCGCCGGCCCCGGCCGCCAGGGAGCGCTGGGATCGATCCCGGTGCTTTGGCGTCTTTGGCGTCCGGGGCTCGGGGGCGTGGCCTCGCCGGCCTCGCATCCCGGCGGCGTGGGCGTCGACGGCGTCGTCCTGGCCGTCGTATTTATAGCCGCGCCTCGGACGGACTCCATGCCGGGCGTGTTGCTGTAGGTCGCTTCCCGGCGGCAACATTGCGCAACACTTCGCAGCGGCGCAGCCGCCTGCACTGCTCCCGGCGTCGCGGGTTCGAATCCCGCCGCAGGCCCCCCCGTTTTCTCGGGCACCGCGGCGGCGCCACGACGCCGTAAAACGCGCCCCGTAAATGCGACGCGTCTAAGTGCTTTGGCATTGTTTGCCGCTGATAAGTGTGGCGGCCCCGCGCCGCTCGGTGCTCCGCTTCGCCTTGCTTCCGGTGGCGTGGCGCGTGCATCGCCCGGCATCGCCACGCCGAGATAGCGGCCCGGATTAGCCCAGTGGGTCATCGCGCCGCGTCGCGCCGCGGCCCAGTCCGGCCATCAATGGGATTAGGATCAATCAGAATACTCATTCCGGGCGCTAAAATTAGCCCGACGGGTCCCTTGCCGCCAGCGCGACCGCCAGTGTACCGGAAACGGAGCGAGAAGGATTTGGCGGGGCGGCGCCATGGCGGCGCATCGGGCGGCCGATGACGTGACGCAACCGTCGAGATAGAGGCCGCCGTCGTGGTGCCACCGTGCTGCACGCCGTGCTGGTGCGGTGGGTCTGGTCGTGGCGTGTGTGGTGGTGGGTTGGTCTGATTGTGTGTGGCCATACAGTACGCGGCGTTCGTCGTACAGCCGTGGCTACGTACACCTTGATAACGCGCGCCCGAACTGCAGTCACAGTCAGAAACTCGTCGACACTGCGAAAACGGAGGGGAAACAGGCAAGGAGCGAGTGGGCGCGTGCGGCTGCGGATCGGGTGCTCTTTTTGTGCATCAGTGGTGCTGGTGTGTGTGTGTCGGTGGTGTGCCGACCTTCCGGTGTTGTGGTTGTGGCCATAAGTGGTCGGCGTTGGTCGTAGCCGACCACCTTGATAACGCGCGCCCGAACTAGTGTCGAAACTTCGCCTGCAAACGGAGGAAGGCAAGGAGGATGGGCCGCGTGCAGGCGTGCGGCATCAGAGCGGCTCCTCATTTTTCTTTGCACCTTCAGCGGGTCGCGGCTGGCTAGTGGTCGGCGGGCGCCGACCATTCTCAAGGGCGAACTATGTGAGTTGCCCCATTGCGGCATCAGGCAGGCATCGGGCAGCCGAGCCAGGCAGGCGGCGGCAGGCGCAGCCAGCTTGGCACCGGCCTTTTGCAGGCAGTCCAGGCAGCAGCAGCAGCAGCCAGGCAGCCAGCCAGGCAGCCAGCCAGGCGCAAGGCAGTGCCGGAGTCCGTTGCGGTTGCGGTGAGGGAACTGGTTCCGGCCGCTGCGGAGGCAAGGACGGCAAGGACGCCGATGTGGAGCACGACGCGTCGTCCTTGGGCCGCCCTTCCCTCTCCCCCAAGGCCCAGAAGGCCCAGAAGGGCAGCGCGGGGTGGGGAGGGGAGCGGAGGGGTGCTTGTTGCTTTGGCGCGGGGCCGCGCCGAGGGGGACACCCGAGTGTAGCGGCGCGCAGCCCGCCGTGGACCCCGCGGACCGCTAAGGAAGCTGTCGTGGACGTCACCGGCGTGCCGCGGCGTGCCGACCCGCACACCTGTCCGCGGCTATATTTGGTGCTCGGCCCACGAGGCCCACGAGGCCCACGTGGTGGTGTGTACTCGCGGGGTACCCTTTGAGGTGGTTGTTTACGTGTGGCGGCGAAGCGAGGTCGTCGACGTGGTCGCGGTGGTGGCGGGGAGGCGGCCGACGTGACCGAAGTGGTGCGCGGGCTTTTGGCGAATACTACTTCGCGTCGTCGGCGTGGTGGTGGCGGTGGGCAGGACCGCTACGCCGCCGCCCCACCCCGCCCCGCCCCGCCCCGCCCGCAGCCGCGCCGCGCGTCACGGCGACACGCCTCTGGCACGGCGCCGTCGGTGCTTCAAGTGTCATCATCGCGAAAGGAGAAAAATAAAAAGATGAACAAGCGCGCGGTTTGGCCGTCACGGCGACTCTGAAAATAGCACGCGTTGCCACTCATGGCGCGGTGTGCTGGTGGAGACGCCGGCGCCGCCGCGACGCCGCGACGCCCGCCAGGGGCCCCCGTAGCCTCATGGCCTCATGGCGGTCACCGCGCCACCCCTCCGCCAAGGGCGCGCGGGGCGGAGCAGGGTGGAGCGGGGTGCACTTTTGCAGCCTCAGGTGGGAGTGCCCCTCCCCTCCCCTCCCCTTCCCTTGGTGACACGGGCGGGACTTCCTTCCGGTGCACCGCGCACCATTACCGGCATTAGCAGTCGGCATCGCGCAGTCCTCTGGCAAAAGTCGGCAAAAGGCGTCCATTTGGCGGCGAGGAAGTGCGATGGGATCGCGTGCCGCCGCGACGCCGATCGGCCGGCGATGCTCCACTCGCCTCGTCGTCGGCGTGCTCGTTACGTGACGCCGTGCTGGCCCAATTAACTTCCAGTGGGGGTGTGGTGCTTGCCGTGCCGCCGCTCCGCGTCGTGGTGTACAGCGCCACCATCCTTGACCGCCACGCGGCGGCAAGGCCACGGCAAGGCCACGGCCTGTCAGTCCCTGCCGCGGTCGGCCGCGTCCTTCATTATTCCCCGCCTTTGCCTTTCGCCGCCGACCGTCCGGCTGTCCGTCCGTCCGACTGTCCGGCTGTCCGTCTGTCCGTCTGCCCAACTGTCCGTCTGCCCAACTGTCCGTCTATCCGTCCGCCAATCGATTCACGATGTCCCTCTGCCTCGCGCCGTTCGCGCTTCACGGGTTCCGTTCTGCACGTTGTCCGTAGGTGGAGGGCGAGGCGCCTGCGAGGTAGGCATCCCTCGCGTCGGCCGGGCACGGCTGCGCGGCGTGGTTGCCAGCCGCCGGTTGACGGGCGCTTTGCATGGCGGCGACGTGTCGACATGGTGCCGGGCGGCGCAGTCCTCCGTCGGTCCCCTCGACCCTGGCGGCGTGGCGGCCCGACGCCTGGCCGCGCCAAAGAGTGCCGAAATACACGCACGCGCATGACTCGGGTACACGCTCGGTTCAAGGGTCGGCCGTGCCTCGCGCCTTGGCCGCCGGCGACGACGACGGCGATTTTTCGGCGGCGCGACACATCAAGGCGAGGCTCGCAGCCCGCGCACCGCCCTTCGATTTATACCCCCGGCGGCCGCTTCTTTACTCGCCACGGCCGCGCTGTCCGCGGGGGGCTGATGCCGAACAATGCGACGCGTCTCCCTCGCACCCCTACGGAAAGCCCGCCCCACGAGCGCGACAGACTGCTTGGAGTCCGCCTGCTGTGTCGCGCTGTCGCGGCCGATTTTATTCACGCGGCTAATCCTGGCGCCGAAATGTAGGCCGGGGACCTTGGTACGCGCATCGCGGCATCGCGGCGGGCGGCCGGGTGTCGTCGGGGTGCTTGCACCGCGGCGGCAGGGTCACCGGGTGTAGCAGTGCAGCGACCCGGCGTCGACGACACATGTGCGTCGCGCGTCGCGCAACCCCGTCGCCCTGCCGCGGCACGCGCATTCCCGCGGGGCCACTCGGCCACCCTCAAGGCGGCCGGGCGGGGCCGCGAGCCTCGCGTCCACCACACTGGCGCCGGTCCGAAATAAAATAATGCACGTACTTGAAGGAGGTGGGGCTGCTGGGCCCGCGCAGCGCGCAGCACGGGATGTCTGCTGCGTCGCAGCTTTTGGCCGGGGTCAGGGCTGGCTGGTGGGCGGAGGCGGCGGAGGGGTGGGGTGCATTTCTGCAGCATGCAAGCCACCCGTGCCACGGCCCCCGCGCCGCCAGCCGCCACGGCCCTATCGACCCGCGCGACTCGAACTACGTCGCAACCTTGAAGCGCGGCGTGCGGCGCACGGTGGTGTAGGCAGGCCCGGGCAGGCCATCCCCAACGGCGCGACGGTCACCGCCCCGGCGGCCTAATGCGCAGTGCACGGCCGGTGGACGATGGTTCAGCTGGGCGGATTAGTCGGGCTGATAGCGTGTCCGGGGCAGTGGGGCACCTGATGAGGGTGCAGGGCAGTGTGGTAACGCTGCTGGCCACCACTAATCCTCTGTCGGTGTTTGTGTTGCAGGGCTCGCCGGCACACCGTAACATGCACATGCACTCGTCCACGTCGCGCCACTTCTCCAGGACGTCGTCGCGGACGTCGACCAACAGCCTGCAGTCGCCGTGCAAGTCGGCCGGCTCCAGCCCGCCCAAGAGCGAGTCCACGTCCAGCCTCAACAAGTTCCACACGCGGCTCGTCGACAAGCTGAAGCGCTCCCTCAAGTCCGGCAGCAAGGACGGCGCCACGGCGTCCTGAGGGGGCGCCGGGGGCGCCGGCGGCAGCGTGGACGCGACCAGCGACGCGCTCAGGTCCCTGAGTGTGTCCGGCAGGTCGCCGCCAGCCGCCCACGCAGGGCGCTCCACCCCGATCTCTGTGCCCAGCCACAGGCCCACGGCGGCGTCCCAGCGCGCCGCCAGGGCGGCCTCCTCGTGCCCAGCGGCCCCGCACCGCGCCAGGCCCTCATAGCGCAGGCCAAGCCCCGCCCGGGGTGCGCACGGCACGCATGGCACGCAGTCGCAGTGCAAGCGGCGCCTTGGGCGGGCCCTGCCACGGCCAGTCGCCAGCCCCGCCAGCCCCGCGCTGGCCGAGATGGCCGCCAGGCTGGCCATCAGGCCGGTGCAGCGGACTCTCTGCCTAGACAGAGAGAGATTGGCCGTGTTAGGGAGCTAGCTCTCTTCACTTAGAGGCTTCTTGATTGAATGTATTAACTTATTTGTGTATATTACTACTTCAACAGTATGACTATTATTATTATTATTATTTTGTATACGACAGAGTTGAACTGCCATTTTGTTTGGACCAATCCTGACGCGCTTAGCTGTCTTGGCGAAATTTTGGACTTGTTTTTCTCTTTCTGGATTTTCCAATCCCCCGCCAACTTTGATGGAGGCGCTCCGCGCCCCACGATGTTCCTTTCACGTGTTCATGACTTTGCTCTCGAAACTGTCGAGAATCTCATTAAGGCTTACGACTGTCGCAAGAGTGAGATCTGAATCACAATCTGACTGTGCAAAATGGGTGTACGTCTTGTCACTGTACATGCTTTGGGCAACTCCAAGATCTGTGATCCGACACAATTCGGAATTTATTCGCGAAAGAACGAGGGTGCATAATAAATTCTCGAGTTTTGTCTTAATCGCCCCTGCTCAGGCCTAATGGATGTTTCATTGTTAGCAGTTCCTGTCTTGTCGTTATAATCTACCTAGTTTCGTTGTGCTGTCTAAACTATTCTATTTTTCGGTATGATCGTCTCTACGACGCTCTCGCTTTTGTGTGCGTGAAGACGGAAAATTGACTTTCCTCAAGACCTGCATTATATACCATATACCTATACTATAGTATATATTCTTGCGAGAGGGTATTTTATATTAATCTGTATTAGACTTATTGTGTGAGTTACTTCCCCCGCAATCATTTCGCAATAAGACAGCGCAGAGAGCAGCTTGTGTCCTGGCGACGCGGCCGCTCGCAGCGGACCGGGCCCAAGCTGCTCTGTGTTCGGTCAGGTGTGCTGGGACGGCGCGCTGGCGGCTCGACAGTTGCCAGGAACCAGCGTTGCCAACATGGCAAGCGACACGGCGTCTCGTGGCGCTACCTGCTGTTGGCGACTCTGTTCTTTGGCGCTCTTGGGTTGGCAGGGCGGCATGGGGATGGCGGCGGCCAGCCTGGAGGGGCCTTGTCCTTCAGGGAAGTCCCTCGCGGGCCGGTCACCGGCAGCGACTTTTGGCTTGGAGGGTGTCTGTGATATATTCAAATGCTGAGTGGATCTTTCGGAAAGAAGTGTGTTGTTTTTGTTTCATCTCCCCCTTTGGCGTGGACGAATTGTGAGGGAGTGTGGGAAGCGAGCAGAGGGAAGTCAACGACGAAGCATGTTGCCAATGCGACTTTCCGATGCGAGTTTTCCATGTACGGTGCGGTCCGAACCACATAATGTTGAATGGTGTCCCTGCTTTTCATATTTTTTAGCAGACGCCGACCTATATTTTGAATGTTTGTTCCTGAGAGTATTTTCGCTTTCGTGCAGTTGGAGATAAAATCTTTTTTTTTTCTGTACTTCAAAGAGTACCCTATTTCGCTATTCGAAATTTGAAAAAGTTTCTCTTTTGGCTTTTAAATTAAGTTTACTTCTCCAACTGTACCTAAGTTTTGTTATTGCATTGTTAGTATTCTTTAGAAAAGTACGAAACAGAAGACTGTCACCAAAGAACTTTTGTGGTATTTGCCAGGGCCGGAGTGCCATCGTTTCAGCGAGGGGAGTTCCACAGTGTACACCAAACAGAAGGCGAATTCACTGCGTTGAAACGTTGTCACTCATGCCCTGGATCAGTGAAACTAACTGCTAGTTAAATCCACTATGTATCATTAAACCTTTGACTGTACCTTTGTTGTGAATATTTGGACTGTACTGTACGTTTGATTGTTGAATTGGTTGCGTTGCGGGTGTTACCCCAACTTGGATGCCGCGTGAGTTGTAAGGTACTCTCTGATTATCAAAAATACAGAGGAAAGAGGTACTTCTGCGAGCCCAAGGCACCTCACTACATATAAAAAATTGCACATTATAGTATTTGCGGTATTTGTTGATCTGTATTGGTCATATACATGCTTTATTTCTCTTAAGAAGACAAACATCACATTAGGACTCCGTACAACCATTTTCATGGAGGCACTACTGAGCCACTAAATTAATCCAGAACTAAATAATAATAGTCATAAAAAGACTTCCTCGCTTTTTTCAGTTTTAAATAAAATATTCAATGTTAAATAGGTGTCCCATGCTATGACTCGCAATCTTTTGTAAGGAAGTGGGGTACGCAAGGTAAACCGACTGTGATTTGGTAGACTAATATAGTGAATCATTTTTAGTTTTATTATTAATGAATAGCCACGTACGCCCGCAATGTGTGTAACCATGTACGATAGATGGAAAAGTGAGATTTTGTTTTTTGTTTTCTTTGTTTTATATGACACATTCCATTCATAATTTTCATCTAAAATGGTTGTTAAAAAGTACATATATTCAGAATTTTAAAATTATTGGTGCTCAGATCAGCGTTATGGTGCACACTAAATTGTAATGAGACAGGGTGCAAATTGCCAACACCAGTGCCACGAGAAATGTAATTGCCAGGCCAAAGTATAATCACACGGCCAAAGTTGACGGTGGAAAATGTTTGTGCTGGACTTGTCGCTGCACATCACCGTCCCTTCAGCTAATCAGTGTACGATTTTGGTGTGTGTTTCTATAGTATTCTATTCCTCCGACTCATTTTAATTTGTAAGTTATTTCAACTGTTTTTGCAACACCTTCGTCATTTATTCACGCCTTTTCGAATCAGATATCATATCCCATTAAAATCATTTGATTTGACCTAAACGTGTTCCTATTTTCTCACCTTTCACCCCGACACAGACAAATATTTGGCTGAACAACATCAGGGCCGAAGCACAGCCTGGCCTTCGAGTCTTGCGAGGATGTTTGCCAAACTAAACTAGATAAGAGTACGCAAGCAAATGACTAATCGCTACAGTGCGCAGTACACTACAGGATGCCTCCTGCTATGATTCATTCATCTGGGACGCAAAAGGGATGGGCTGAGACGACTGGCGAGAGTCAAGCCCAGATTTACAGCTGACTGCGCACACTCATGAGGAACGCGAAACGAGACCGGTACGCAGGGCGATGAAAACAACAACAATGAGAGGCTTTGCATCATTCAGAGGTGACATTTCAAATTTTAAAGTGACTTTACCTAATGTCAGGATGGACGTCGGTGCTCGTCCGTCGGGTTTCGAGTTCTCGAACCCCTCCAGAAGGATGCGAAACGGCGCCTATTGAACCTGGGCGTAGTATTCTTGGACGGGTCTCGTATTTATTTATAGTCAGGGTTCGCGCGCCTTGTGGATCGACCGGCTTATTCAACCCGGGGCCTGACCTACCGCGTAAATTTGCTGAATCAGAGTAGTTGCGATTCGCGATGTGGTCTGGTTGGACTGCCGTGCTCGCGTGCCGGGGGCGCCGGGGGCGCCGGGGGCCGGGGTGCCACGACCTTGTCTCGACAAGACAACGCCAGTGACTCTTCCAGCGTGCTTCCAGCGGAAACCGGCGAAGCGCCGATTAAATCGGTTCTCTCTAAAGACTAAAAATCGCGACGATTTTCATCTGATGCGCCTCCTCCGCACCCGACTGCGACTCGTTTTTATTTTTTCGCGGTGGAGTGGGCCACTGGCTAGGGGGAAAAAAATCCGGGGCGCCCGCCGCGAAATTCGACTTGCGGCTGGGATAGCCTCGTCTGCTGACGTGAATTCGGCGAAACGCGATCCCAGTATTTTTTCCCCCAAGGATTTCCCGAACAGACGCAATATCGAATGCGCTGCATGCTGCAAAGCACACGACGGGCGCGCCGAAAAATGCGCGGTGAACAGTTTTCGCGATCGATTGACTATGCACTGTCAGAAAATGAGACGGGTGACGGAATTTCACCCGACATATTTTTGTTTTTGTTTTGGCGCTCTTCGCTGGAAATGAGTTTAACCAGGCCGGTCGGCCGGTCACGCCGTGTTGGCCGCTACGGTGCCTCAGATGGGGGGCGACGTTCGTTCAGGTGACGGGGACGCGCAGTAGTGCCGACTTGACCTTCCCGGCACAGCTGGTACACTGGCACAGCGCACTCACACACAGATACTAATCTGTGCAAGCATGGGGCGGGCCAGGCCGCGCCAGGCCGCCTAAAACGGGAAGGAGGGATGACCTGCCACGATAAACGAGGGCGACGGCAGCGCGACGCTACACAGTGGATTTGCCAGAAGATCGGTGGAGGCGGCCAGAATTCGAGACGCGTTTTGAGCTCCAGAGTCGCTGAACAGGACTCGAACGGAACATGTGACCGCCACCAATGAATTCCTCGTTCGGAGAGCAATCCATTGTTGGGGTCTCACATTTGGATCGAGTACCATTTAGCGACTCTGGAGCTCAAAACGCGTCCGTCCGGGATATCGACCGCCTCCTCCGGACTTCTGGTCCACTGTGCGCTACGCTGCAGAAAAACACCGGGGCAGCCGAGGTGAAAACTACGCTGTTTTACTCGAGAGTGTCAGAAGCGCAGTATGGATGATGTCACGTCACTGGTTGCTTTTCTTCCTAGTCACTCCTTGATTCGCCGCGGCCTTCTAGAGGGAGATCTAAATCGGCCCTGACGCTTATCTGCCGCGCTAAGCGAGATGGTGTTGTGATGTGACAGCAGTAAAGTCCGCCGCCGCGCCCGGGATTCGAACCAGCGACCTCGTCCTTCCGCGGCGCACGCCGCAACCCCATCGGCCACCGAGATAAGCCCAACGTTATTGCCGGCGCCGCTTGTTGCGTTTCGCCGGATCGATGATGGCTGGGCCTCCAGGCAGCAGTCGACCTCTGCTGACTCGCCCGAATCGCGAAGTGGCGACCCACTTTTGGCGCAAAGCGGCCAGCCAATTTCGGGATAAGGCGTCGGTCGCGCTAGAGAGGGAGAGAGAGACAAGAGGCACTCGTCGTTCTGGAAGGAATGGCGGGAATTTCGCGCGCGCCGACTCAGTTGTTAAGTCTGTTTCCTTCTTCTTCTTCTTCTTCTTCTTCTTCTTCTTCTTCTTCTTCTTCTTCTTCTTCTTCTTCTTCTTCTTCTTCTTCTTCTTCTTCTTCTTCTTCTTCTTCTTGATGTTGTTGCTTGTTGTTGTTGATGTTTCTGGAGCTCGTGCGCTGTGCAGTTTGCGACAGTTGACGGCTTATCATGCTTCGGCGACGCACTGCTCGAATTAGGATCAATTAAAAAGGACGTCGTTTCGCAACTCTACTGCGCGTACTACTCAAGAAGGAGGAGTGCCTGCCAGGGGCGTCGACACCGGGGGGGGCAGCGGGGCAATGCCCCCCCCAAGTTTTGTCCAGGGGGGGGCAGGGGGGGCAACATTTCGGGCCAAAGGAGGCAATATTTCGGGCCAAAAAGTATTTACTTCGCTCTTTGCTGAACCTTTTCGAATCGCTCGGCGGCCGCGACACCCACCGAGTACATAGCAGCAGGCACAGACTTGTTTCCAACGGTACGAACGAAGTCAAGCCAAGCAAACCTTGTAAATTAAATGCAAGATATTTAGTCACCTGTTTATCCCTTTTTTCGTTCTTTTACCCATACATTACCTTGTTTTACGCGAATAACAAAAACGCCTGAAGGTAGGCAACCCGAACGGCAAAGGGCCGCTTGCCCCCCCCTGAAATTCGGACGCGTCGACGCCCCTGGTGCCTGCCGCACCCAACAGTAGCGGCCCCGCAGTGGCGCTACTTTGTAATCTGCTTCGCCACGTTTGGCGAGGCGCGGCGCACACGTGTGGTCCGATTTCAATCCCAATACGAAACTCACTGGCGCCAGCCCCGATATCTAATCTCTGCGTCTTGCCTGCAACCTAAATACCCTTCCACACGTAGGGCGCCGTCAGGCGGACAGGCAGAGGACGGACAGACAGACAGACAGACAGACAGACAGACAGACAGACAGACAGACAGACAGACAGACAGGATAGAGGACTTTATTCTGCCGAGATTTAGGAGATAAAGGCCAATGGGGCCGTCCAAGGCTTGTTTTTCCCGGCGAGGCGGTTCCGCTAGGTTCCGCGCGGCGGGGGCGTCTTCTTCTCCTCCCCGGGGATGGGGTGGACGGTCGGACCCGGACAGCCAGTGCTGCGGGGGTTGGACCAGGTTCGACGCAGCCCACGGCGTACTCGACGCGCACGTGTGAGGCCCCGCCAGGTCGGCTGGCGGCGTTGGCTGTGCCTTGCTGTGCCGCCGAGCGAATCAGAAGAGTCGTCGCTCTGTCCTTGTCGCACTCATGGGGCGGTCCGTAGGGGTGCGAGAGAGACACAGCGACGTACCGCTGTTCTGAATGGCTGGCTGGCGGCTCTACGCAGCGCAGCCCGGCGCAGCGCTCTTCCGTCAACACACTGGGAGGCCGGGCCGCCGGCCTGGCGACCCTCATCCCCATCCATCCCCCGCACGACCTCGGCCTCGGCCTGCCCGGCCCGGCCCGCCCGGCCCGCGCGGCCGCATGCATGAATCAGGTTATTGGAACGAGATTGGATGGAAGCGGCACGGCGGCACGGCGTCGGGTATCGCCGGGGATCAAGTCACACCCGAGGTTTGCCAGATTCTTCATATTTTGCCGCCCGAAATAGAGGAGCGGGCCCATCAGGCAGTGAAGCGCGTTTGCAAAACGTTTCAAAAGTTCACCGTGTCGATGAAGGGTCACGCGTGCTTCTGGACTCTCCCTTGACACCTTGATTATCACATTTCTCGCCTCTTTTTGGAAGGTGCAGGTTTCGGGTTGATGGCCGAGCGCGCGGGGGTGGCGGTGTCGGTTTGTTTAGTCTCACTGGAAGTGTGCAGTGGCGTGGCCGCCGTGGTGGTCGCCGTCGTGGACGCCATTCGGCATTCCCTGGTACTTTTCCACCGCGCGACGTCACCGTCGTCGCCAACGACGTCCCATTGTCGGCGAGGGCTGCCGCTGCAGACTGATTCCGAGAGTCGCTTTCGTCGCTCTGTCTGTCTCGCACTCATGGGGCGTCCCGTAATGGGCGTGGGAGGGGCAGCGAAGGAAAGCCTCTCGGAGTCGGTCTGCTGCCAGCGATACCATCCGGAGCATTATGCGCGGCGCACCGAGACCGACCGCCCCGGCGATAGCGACAAGGCGGGGAAGGCGACCCTCGCGATCCGCGCCGCCAACCCCTCGCTGCCAAAGCCACAACTTGCTCCAACTTTCTCAGTGACTGTAATACCAAAGTAAGTCGTTGCAGGTGCAGGGAAGGGCCGCCTGACATCCACAGCCAGTGGCTACGCTCCTCTGGGGTCAATCCGAGTAGACAGGAGAGCCCTGCACCACAAAGACCGGTGGAGGTGGTCAAAATTTCGGGCGGGGTTTGAGCTCCAAATCCGCTAAATGGGACTCGAACCGAACGAGTGACCCCACCAATCGATTGCTCTCCGAACGAGGAATCCATTGGTGGGGTCACACGTTTGGTTCGAGCTCTGTTTAGCGACTCTGGAGCTCAAAACGCGTCCAGAATTTTGGCCGACAGCATCGGTGTTCAGTTCTAGCTTCGAGCCTCGTCCTCCTCAAATAGAACTCGAATCCAGCACATGGCGGTACAATGGAAAGCACGAGCGCCATCACGCGCTTGATGCGTGTCCCATTGGAAGGGCTCAAGAGACTCCAAAGTTACGTCCCGCCTGCCCTTCTCCTTCTGGCGGCCCCGGCGGCCCAGCAGACTCGAGTCGCTCTGTCTCTCTCGCACTCATGGGGCGTCCCGTATAGGTGCGAGAGAGACAGAGCGACGAAAACGACTCTCGGAGCCAGTCTGCAG